AGATAATTCTCCTACCATTAACATAACTGTTTATTTAAATTGATTCAAATTTTTATATTGCCGTAATTCATTGTTTTCCGTAAAATATTTTTATTTTTATTTTTTTATTTTAAAAGAATATTTACGTAAAATAATATAAAATATATCAACTGTTGTTTCAAAATCTGCAATTTCAGAAATATTATAGCTTATGAATATCAAATAATTTTTTTATTTATCATTTAATTTGTAATTTCAATTTAAACTATATTATATTAACATATTATGTATAATAAATAACAGGTATCTCACTTCTGGTTTTTCCACAAATTACCTTTTTCAAACATTTTAGATTCTGAGTGAAACGATGAATGTATTGATTTTACAATGATATTTTTTATTTTTTTTAATTATTTAATTTTTGTGTCTGTCATCAATACTAAATGTTTATATTTTCATTTTCTATACACCATAAAATTTTGAAAATATTTTGACTCTCTTTGAGCTGTTTACGGATATTGTCAGTTTTCAATTTTTTTAGTTTTTTTTTTTTCTATAAAGATCAATAAAATTGTATTTGTTTGGTAAAAAAGCGTAAAAATGTAATGCAGGCTCCTGATATACTGTAACAATAGCAGTTGAAAAATATTAAAAATACAATGGCACAATTTTTTTTTATAAACATTTAAAGTTCGAATTTTGACAAAATTGATCATATTTAAAATTTAATAATTATTTTGTAGCTAAAAATGTATAAAATGTTCAACTTTTATAGCTAAGGATTAAAAATTTAAAACAAGTAAATATTTTAAATATAAATTACTTTATTCACAATAATATCATCAAATATACTTAGTAATATCATAGGTTGACTGACCGTTTTCGCTCAGAATCGTTTTTCTTATACAATGATAGCATATCATTGAATTCAAATTTAACACCATCCATTACAGTGACCCACTTGTAACCTACTGTACAGCAGAGTGACATCCACTTTTTTAAAATTATAACTACCTACCCACATACCAAATTGAATACATTAATATTTTCAAAATATTTTTAAAAGGTGTCCTATCAAATATTTTAATGCAAATATTGTTGAATTAGCTTCAAAATATTTGGTCGAAATTTAATATTATTAAAACCTTTTCAAAACGATTTATATCAAATATATGTTATTATTAAAAAAAATATTTGTTTTTTTATTGTGTGATTAAAATTAATCATAGTTTAATTTATTTAATAACTCTATGAATACTTAATGAAAATAAATTATGTATTTAATTTGTTTTTAGAAAAACAAGGCCTTCAAATTAGCTAAATCAGATTTTTAAATTACAGAACAAATAATCAAATAGGATTTTTGCGAGGACAAATACTGTGAGCTCTGTATATGGTACATGGACCAACAAATATTTATTTTGAAAGTGGGATGGTAATTTTATAGGAATACAATATATTTGTATAACATCAAATATCATTATTTGTGTATTTATTTGAAATGATATTTACTATTAGAGAGGGATAGTTAAATTAATTATATAACAATATTGAAAATATTTTTGAGTGTATATTGCAGGTTTTAAAGTAGGTGCTAAACTTTTTTAAAAATATTTTTTCAACATTTGTTAAAATAGCTTTATGTATCCAAAATTTCGCTCCAAAAATTAGAAAATATTAAATAATAAATACACTTCAATTTTTGAAAAAATTATAAAAATAACTTTTATGAGTTTATGCGATAGATATCAGAATCTTTAATTTAATATTATAATTTCTTGAGCTCAATACAGAATTATTTTTCGAGTATATAATGATGACTTAATTATTACCTAGGTATAATAATGAACAAACTTAAGCTATTATATCGCTACTAGGTATAGTATTATATTCTAGCGTTGATATTAGTAAATAATGAAAATATGCTGACTAGCCTTTAAATTAAAAAAAATAAATACACACATCATTGTAAAATCAATACATTCATCGTTATCGTTCCACTCAGAATTTAAAATGACTTTACTTATTTTCTTACACAAATAATCAAAGTATATATTTTTAGATTTAATTATGCAAATTTCATCAGTTGTAGCTCTTCCATACTTCTAAACTTAAATTTTATAATTTTTTTTTTTTACAATTTCTATAGAATAACAAATTTTAAATAAAAAATAAATAACCTATATAATAATATGTATATCTTTAAATCTTCATAAGTTCTATACTAAGTATGCGTACTATTTAGGTACTTAAAAGTTCATAAAAATGTTTATTTTCCATGAAAATACGTGGTTTATCAAATTATCTTTAACACCATTTCGTAATTGAATAACGCACTACATTATAAATTGTCTAATATAAAGCATGTTATAATTTATCGTAAATTGCACACCATATGAAAAAAAAGTCTTAAAAAAATAAAAATTAATCAATGAAATTCCAAACATTAGTATCGTTTTTATTTTTAATTGATAATTAAGTATGGCATATATTAAAAAAACTATTTAACCAACAAAATAAAGAATCGTTTATTGATGAAAATTTGAAATATTTCAATTATTTATGATCTTATTTTTGTTAATTATTAGGAACTGATAGATATTTATTAATTTATTTAATAATAGTTGTATGAACGTCAAATGTTGGAAGTTCCTAACTAAATGTGTATTATAATACAATAAGTCAAAAAATAAATAATAATAATGTTGTTATACACACAACAGTGATAATTTTAGATAAGTATGAAAATAAACAGAGAACATTTACAAGTATAAATATTATGACACTTGGTAAGTATACTTCTTAAACTATTTTAATTTTAAATAATTAAATTGAATAGATTAAGTAATTTCTACTTTGTCCGATTACAACCGATTACAACCGATAACCAGTTATAATAATTTGATTTAAACATTTTCTTTCTTAAAAATTAAATTGAAAAACAAATGTACCTATTGATAATATTGCACTTTAAATCAAATGAAAAGATCATAATGCTCATTCATAGACGTCTATTATCGGATCTTTTATAATATTATATGAACGCTGTCATCTAGAATGTACGAGTGTGATTAATAAGTAATACGTTTCTTATAGAATTCAAAGAGACATGCAATATGAGCGATTTATTGAATGATTTAGAATTTATGAGACGTGAATATGATATTAGTGAAATATGGGTGTAATATAATATTATTTAGAATATATTGTCTATGAATGGATCTGAACTCGTTATGTAGAGTGAAAAAAAGTATCATCTCCCATATAATATTCTTAATCACAGTAATCGGAGTTATTTTTTTTTACACACATACTCAAAGTTGATATTTGTTTACTATTATTACTATTTAATGTACTTAATATAAATAAGCTATATATAAAAACCTGTACCATTTTCCTAAAAAAACATAACATGTTATCCCCTGTAAATCACAAAGTTAACACTAGATATGCTACTAATAATTATTCGCTAAAATTTTCAAAAAAAGCTGGATGTCGTAAAGTGTATGATTTTGTTGGGACACATATACATAATATAATGCCCAAAGAAGTGGCTGATATGTCTCTTTCTATTTTCAAAAAATACATTACCCATTGGCTTCACCATGAATACGATGCTACAATATTGAAGTTTCAGGATTAATTTGTTTTTTTTTTTTTTTACACTACCATTGTCTGCCTTTTTTTTTCTTTGCACATAAAACTTTTTTTTATATTATCTGTCGTCAACACCTACTATACTGTCTTGTATTATTTTTTGTTTTTTACCATGTATTTGAGTAGCTATTTAAGAGAAAACAATGATAAATGTAAATTGTTGTATTATAAGATATCTCCTAGGCCTCCACACGAGTTTTACTCAGTGAGGCCTAGTAATCTTTACCGATATTAAATAAAATAAAAATAATAAAAATAATAAAAAAAATACATAACAAGGTCTGATGATAAGCAAAAATTATCAGCACCATAAAACCTTATGCAAATTCTTATATAAGTGATATGAAATATTATTTATTATTATACACCGCTATGGTGCTTGACGTGCTAAGTTAAAAAAAATCGGTACATTTAATTTTGTAGAAGCATTTTTTGACAAATTGCTTGGCCATATCATTATATTTGTACTAATATTTGAAGTTAGGAGAGTTGAGTATTTTTAACAATGGTTTAAATTGTGTTAGATCTTACCTATTCTGTAAATCTAACATATTTAAGGGGAACAGAAGCAGTGATTCATTGGGGTCGTGTTTTATTTAATGTTCTATTCGCATTAGGTACACAGTGTGTTAGTGTGAAAAGTATATTATCATTAGTGTAATAGTATGTGTGGATACGTGTGGAACCCTGTCCTGGTATAGACACCCACGCACGTTTCAGACATGACATAAAAGCTCATTCCCAACGTAGGTACCAATTTATGTAATTAAACGATAAGAATTCTAAAAACGTATTCAAATATGTCACTTTGATGTGACAAGTTAATGAAAAAGTCTACTTGAGATAGGATTTCTCATATTTTTATCGTTTTCGAATTAAGTTTTAAATAAAATATTAAAGTTCAATATTACAGTTTTTAATTTTCTTTTTTTTTCAAATACAGTGAATGTATCGAAAATGTAGGGTAGCCAATCGCATAATATAGAAAAAAGGACAAATTTAAATCCACTTTTAGTATTTTTCTAATCGCTTTACTACGTCGTATTTAATCGAAACGTTGGCAATGAGGTCCTAAAACATCAACGTTGAGTAAAGATTAAAATAAAACCATCTCATTTAATGAAGTATATGATTATACTATAAGAGTAGGTACAAAAATATCGTTTGGGGGAGCAGGCAATCCTTTTTTCCACCCCTTGAAAGTATAGGGAACCCCGATAAGGTGACATATTCTAATCATCATTATTGGATATTATCCACTCTGGGGATGATTAATTCACATCGAGTTTAACCACGATTCACGTGTGCACACAGGGCTTGTTCGATAAACGAATGATTTGGCCGACCACGTCAGTGGTTTGATCATGTACAGCGTGGTAGCGCATCAGAACTACGGCCGGGAACGGCGGGACAACCGGCAACAGTCGCAACAGCACCAGCACGACCATCATCACCACCACGGCCATCACCACAACCAGAACCATCATCACGCGCAGCAAACGGGTGGCGCAAGTTCCGACGGTGGTGGAGGTGGCGGCGTAGGAGCCAGCGGGGGCCCTTGCGGTGACGGTTCGTCGCGGCAACAAGCTCAACAACACCACCATCACCCGGACGGCAGGAGACGGTCGCAGAGGCACCGGAATCTGTCCATCACCGGACGTTTCCTAAACTATATCAAGCGCAGGTTCAACCCAGCACAAGGTAAACCAAAACACTATTATTTTGTCCTTAATATACAGGTGGTCGTTGTGGTTGCGTGGGACGTGCACGTTATATATTAATATTAGGGGTGGGTTCACTCGTAATTCTTTGAACTCACAAACGCCTTGTAAGTATTTTTATGTCCTAATTTGGACAATTTTAACAATACGAATAGTTCGAGCACAATCAAGTTAAAAATGTTCGATAATGACAGAGAAGTCAATTCAATTTTGTTGGTCAAGCGTAAAACACTGGTATTCGCACTATACCTATTATTGTATAGTATTATTTTAATTTGTTAATGTTACATTTTTAAAAGTTCTACAAAGGTTGATAGTTTGGATAATATTCGAGTTCAAACAGATCCAGAAAAAAAATTGGTTCGAGTTCGTGAAAAACTTAAATAACCCATCATTAATTATTATTGTATACCGGAATCCAGGGCCAGTTGGGCTCACTTAGGTGTTTGCGGCATACCTGTTGATGGCTAATTAGTACAAATTATACTTTTAGTGAATTTTGTGGTGGAAGGATTTCCGAGCGAGCTTCAAAAGTAAGTTGGATAGTTTACGGCACCGTCGAGTAACAATTTTGCCGAAAAAATTTTCTAAAATATGTTTTCCTACTAGGAAAGGGATTGAAAACAGTTTTCAAAAAAACGTTTACGATACTTAGATTTTTAAAAAGAAGGAGCTTATTTTGACAAAGCGATTTCCAAGCGAGTTTCAAACCACAGGATACCCCTCAGATGACGTATTAAATTATTTAAGTAATTGAAAATTTGGTATTCAAGTAGGTACCCACACTTAAAAAATCCTATTATCAGAACTAGAATAAAAACTATGTATTTCAAGGGGAAAATGAGAGTGCTTGGTGAATCACTCTGTATAAATATTACACCAATTTATAGGTTTCCATGAGCCACCTTGAAGTTACCAATGTATTATTATGGTTCTGTCGTTATCGGTCACTATTAGAGTACCATATTTAAGTAAATACCTATGTAATAATATATTCTATAGATACTCTATATAACGGTGGAGGACATACTTAATTATGTTGTACTTCAGGTAGGTATATGATATCGTATATATATATTAATACGTGGGTACATATTATACCGTATATTGGGTATATATAACCTCCCGAATTGGTTATCCAAAGAAACAATATACAGGTAGAAGAAGAGAGGAAGAAAACGTTGTCGAAGATTTTTATTATTTTATAATTAATTAATATTAATATTGTTACAGGTATAAAGTATTTAAAATAGTATTGAACGTGAATCCACTAAGTAATAACTATATATGTCCATATGAAACTACGGATGATGTTGTTACTTGTTATACCTATATAAATGTGTGAATTCATGAATATGAGTACCTATTGGTTTTCATAATAATGTAATAAGTTTTATGTACCTATGGTTTATACCTATATCATACTAAACTAATGTACAAAATACCGAATTCATTATTATCATTGTGTACTGATTATTATTTATGTGGATATTCATACTAAATATTCAAGTGTAAAGGACGGTAAAGGACGTATATTACATGATTTAGGATAATAATAATATTATATAACTACATATTAAAAGTTGTACAGATAATTATTATGTATACCTATGTTTATTAAATAAAATGTATTGTCACACAGAAAATTATAACCATCGATAAATAAATAAATTAGAACAGTTATGTGAAAAATGTCTAGAACTAGGTATTATAATATAATAATTGTTTATTTAAATCTTATTCAATCACTTTAATCACCCTATATGAATATCAAATTATACAATTTACTTTAATAATGGACTCACATCAAACATAGTTTCAATTAAATATATTATTGATGTGGTAAACTATTTAAGTACTATTAAAATGTACAATTTGTATGAAACAATTATAATATGACTAAGGTATCAATAATATACAATTTAATACGTAGGTATACCTACATCAATAGATACCCTAAATTGTGTACTATGAATAATACGCTTTTCTCGTATTATCAACTGCGTTATTTTTATTTAATTACAAAAAAATAATTCTAATTAAAAACTCATGATAGACCATTTTTTTTTGTATCAATCAAGTTGCATAACGTTTTTCCATATCTGTTGGGCGTAGGCACCTAAAAATAAAAGTTATAACGAGTATTTCGTAGCTAAATATTGCGAGCCGTAGGAATATTCAAGGCAAATTAGTCGTAAAACTCGTAACAGTTGTGAGAAGTCAATTTCTTAATAATTCAATACTTCTAGCTTCTAAATATTATAATATTGAGTACACTAGTTAAGTTCATAATTTCTGAAATTATCGTGGTATGATTTTTTTGTTTGAAAATATTTAACTATGTTTATTGTCAAAATTGTAAATTTATAAAGAGGATAGGAAGGCACTTTTTCAGGAAATCCGAGATTGAAAATACTGGATAGGTATGTCTCTTAGTATAGCTGACTGTCAAAATATATAATATACACCGAATGTATATCATAAAATATTGTAGTTAATAGTAATTTATAAATTACATGTATTACTTTTATTTATATGAATACAATATAGGTAGCTATAGCTGCGTAGGTGCGTACTGATAACATTTCGTAAGTCAAACAACACGGCACAAGCTAATAATAATAATAATAATATAATACCCATAGTATTAAATATTATTGGACATTGACATAGGAAATAATACTAGTTATTTTAGATTCTTAGTAAAAAGTAAATCTATACGTACTTATATAATATTATATTAAGGTATTTTTTAATAATGAACTTAAAATATATAAAGCAATAATTTCAAATAGATATGTTAATACTTTTCAAGATAATAAGTGTTCGTAATATCTAAGTAAGCCTTGGTAAAATAGTCCAGCGTCTGTCGATTTTTAGTGGTTAGGTTTATTATTCGCAGGTTCCTATAGTCCTAGGTCACCTATACGACTGTTGTTTAGAATTTATTGTAATTGCACATAATTATGTAGTGTATAATATGTACATTTGTAAAATCCAAATAAAACCTTGATAAGATAGTCGCATGATCGCGAAGGCCTTAAATAGTGTAGGCAAGTAAATAAAGTAAGTAAATAAAATATGTTTTAAAATGTTCAATATACTATAAGCTTTAGCCTTTAAGTATACCGCGTTTAAAAAATCTAAAAATCAGATTTTGAATAAATGCATAATTACTTAAATACTAAAATAGGTTAAGTATGCATAAAAAATCACTCCGTATTAAGGGCACCTACGCATATTATTATTATTTACACGAGGACCAGAGATGTATTTTGAGGGAGAGGTGATTGCCTTTTATTGTATGCTCATATTTTATATGAATGGGAGGGACATCAAACTGAGCATCGCGGGAGCAACATTTTGAATACTTCTCGTTATGAATCACGAGTAGATCGGTATAGCCGTATAGGTATGTATGTAGGTACAATAGGTGCATGTATAATGAGTTATATCTATAATGTCACAAAATTAATAACTATGTTAACATTGTACTTGTAAATATAAATATATTATGACGTGTTGCCCTAGAGTGCACTGTTGTCTGTTAATGTAATAGGTAATGTGTATTATGTTAGTAAATTGTATAATATTATTATAGTTCTAGACAGCATTAAAGTCACTATACCGGTAGGTACTGCAATCGGATTCACTCACAGACTTTTGTTTAGTGTAAAATTAGATACAGACTGAAATAGTAAAGAACACATAATAATATAATTTCGTATCGGTGTGAAATTACAAACAACGAATTGGAGCTAATGCCGGAATGCTTCGTCTATAAATACGATCATTTTAACAATTTTTTAGAAGAAAATTGCAAAAAAAAAATCTGCCGGTTTAAAACGATGGTCTTAGCCATTATTCGGCGAGCACCCATTTACATTATTTCCGTTTTAAAAATGCTATACGAGTATATTCAAATACTTGTTGATTTTTTATCATTTCCAAAATCACCTGCATATAATATATACCTTATTTATAATATTATACCATTGCTGTAACTCTGAAGTAACAGTGTTTCGTGTTATAAATTTGGTCTCAATTTTCAACGATATTATGTAATAATATAAGAAATATTTTGCCCGAGGGAAGCGCTATAAACGAGTTATTTTTTTTCCTTACAAAACGAAAATATAATAATAATATGATTAGGTATGTTTAGTGCGAAAAGTATGGCGTGGACTCGTTTCAGATAATATTATGTCATGCTTATTGTGTTCAATCTCGTACCTACACAGTTGAAAATCTATTCGATTCAAAACCCAATATAGCATGTTTGTAACGATCGACCGATTGGTGCACTAACAATGGTAATGTTCGATTAAATTGTTGTAAGTTACCGTGTCACTATTATCGTATATGGATATAAAATATTGTATCTACAGGTTAAATCAGAACAATTAAGAATCTTACGTTCGTCGTTTTAAAAGACAACAGTTGTTGGGTTCTGATTCCACGATCGTGCAAATGCATTAATTATGACACTAATGGCTCTGTGGACTCAGAATTATTTGTTCGAATTAAATAGTTGAAGCAATAAAATGTTTATAAAGTTTAATATACTTTTATAGATATTGTTATTATTTATACCTTTAGGTACTAATACATAATATTACATTCAAATGCTTTCAAAATAATTCAATACTTTAATTGGAACGCCTATATAATTACAAATGTAATTTTTTTTTCTTTGAACTTTCATATTGTTCTTTCATTTGGTACCTACCTATCCAACTATTAATATTGTTACAATAATATTATAATATATCCAATAAAATAGGAGAAATACTCAAATTTACTGTTACAATATTAGCATATTTTTGTTTAAAAGTTTTTATGGTCTTTGATATTTATTATTTTGCAAAATCATAATAATATAATACTAATATTATTATGGTACACACTCCTATACCTACATGTCAGTTTATTTTATTAGTGCCATAGTATAATATTATGTCTAAATGTGTGCTGAAAACGAGAAAAATAATCTTGAAACGTAGCCATACGTTTCTGATCCCCTGGTACTAATGTACTACATTCCACATACATACACTGAT